ACTGGCTTAAGCAGGGGGACACATCTGGCACTGCAGGATTTGAGTCCCTGGCGGCGTAGTGTGTTACTGATGGTAGCCTTTGTTACTTTGGTCCCAGCTCTCTGCAGGTCATTGACTAGGTCCCCCCGTGTGGTTCTGGGATTTTTGCTCACCGTTCTTGTGATCATTTTGACCCCACGGGGTGAGATCTTGCGTGGAGCCCCAGATCGAGGGAGATTATCAGTGGTCTTGTATGTCTTCCATTTTCTTATAATTGCTCCCACAGTTGATTTCTTCACACCAAGCTGCTTACCTATTGCAGATTCAGTCTTCCCAGCCTGGTGCAGGTCTACAATTTTGTTTCTGGTGTCCTTTGACAGCTCTTTGGTCTTGGCCATAGTGGAGTTTGGAGTGTGACTGTTTGAGGTTGTGGACAGGTGTCTTTTATACTGATAACGAGTTCAAACAGGTGCCATTAATACAGTTAACAAGTGGAGGACAGAGGAGGCTCTTAAAGAAGAAGTTACAGGTCTGTGAGAGCCAGAAATCTTGTTTGTTTGTTGGTGACCAAATACTTATTTTCCACCATAATTTGCAAATAAATTCTTTAAAAATCAGACAATGTGATTTTCTGGATTTTGTTTTTTTTCTCATTTTGTCTCTCATAGTTGAGGTATACCTAGGATGAAAATTACAGGCCTCTCATCTTTTTAAGTGGGAGAACTTGCACAATTGGTGGCTGACTAAATACTTTTTTGCCCCACTCTATATAAAGAAATCACCTTACTGCCTGAATGTATAGTGGAAAACTAGACTAGTAAATCAGAATTTTAATAAGATAACATGTATCTGTGTTTGAGTTCCAAAGAATATTAATGAAGGAAATATATAGAGGGATGAACAAGATAATAATGTGACCTTAGTGTTTGGGCGGTTGTGTATTTAGCTCCTACATCAGACACGCCATTACACTTTGAATATTAGTTTCAGTATCATTGTTATCTAAGAGCAAGGAAATATTTAAATAACAAATAATTAGAGAAATATCAGAAGAATTTAAATGAAATCATATTATTAATGTATAATTAATTAATACAATTAATTAATACAATACACTTAATTTGAACACATTCAAGCCACAATTCTATAATATCAAAATGTACTTATTACATAATTTACAAAACAAATAATGTATATAACCAGTTAAAAATAGATAAATGAAGAGCTAACTAACCAGGTTGACTGATAAAAAGAAGTCGGAGTTTCTCTCCATCTTGATTTCCTTGCCTCTCTGCCGGCCAGGTGGCTCAGATGGAGCGAGCCCACAGCCGCCTCCAGAGCGAGTTGGAGCGCTGTAAAGACATTCACCGGACCCAGGAGGACAGAAGAGAAAGCAGGCTTCATGTTGACCAGCTGAAGGAGCAGGCTGACCGGCTCACTGCTGAACTGAGCAGCCTGCAGACAGCACACAGCGCTCTCAGGTTGTTATCAGTCCACAATTCACGTATTGGTGCATGCAGAGGTATTTTAAAAATAGATCAGAGTTGGGATTATAGCACTGTCACAACCGGTACTGCTATCATGTATCATGGCTGGGCCTATCTTGTCTCTCTAATACACCCAAGCTGACTAGTTTGTACAAATTTGCATATGTTCCAGGGAGGAGATGGTTTCCGAGCGGCTGCAGACTGCCGAGCTCCAGGCCGAGCTTAGCTCCACTGTCCAGGAGAAGCTGACAGCAAAGGGGGAAAGAGAGAGACTGGAGATCCAGACGCAGCGCCTCAAAGAGCAGCTCAAGTGGCATCAAGAGCGGCTCTCCTCAACAAAGGAAGCACTTCTTAGCAGTCAGAAGCCTGAACTGCACACAGCTCATATAGAAGCTAGGCTAAATCCAGTGGAGAGAACCAAGGATGATGATCAGGTAACGGCAATACATTGGTAGGGTCATTCGGTTTGTAGAAAAGTCCTATGTGAAATCATCTCAGTAAGACTGTTGAGATATATAGAAGTTTAGAAATGTGGTTTACAGGGTCAAGTAGAGAGAATGTCCTACAACTTCACTCAGTTCAACGTAATTCTGCTGAAGTGCTGAATGACTAACTTACTTAAGTGTAAACACTAAGACTTTCCCGTGAAAGCACTCTCCTACAAATAAAACTGCTGCTTTCAAAATCTAATTTAAAGAGGACCTATCATGCAAAATACACTTTGTGATGTCTTTTATACATAAATATGTGTCCCCGGTGTGTCGGGGAACTCGCGCAGCGTCAGAAAATAAAACCCTCTCTCTTTTCCTCCTTATCCAAATCTTTTAAAAACGGGTGTTCAACGAGCGGATACAGATTTCCATCCGATCTGACGTCAACTCGGCAGCGGACCCACAGAAAGTTGCTATCAGAAACAATGCCTGACGTGTTTTGGACGTAATCTCGTCTTTGTTTACATTAGCAAGCCTCGCTAACACTCAGAGCTAACCTGTACTGTAGAGCACATGTGTTTTAAAAAGCAGGAACTAAAAAAAGGAACTCACCTTGTGATAAACCCGCAAGAGAAAAAGCATTTGAGTTCCATACTGTTTCAGATAATCCTTGATGTGGCTTAGAACAGGATGGCGTTTTATCACAGCAGAATTGAACTTTATCTCCGGTAGAATTCTGATCAGGCATTAGCTCCGCCTCCTCTTTTTTTGTTTTTCAAGCTAAGGACCCAAAATCTGCGTTTCTCTAACAGGGCTGCAAAAGAGGGGTATGAGCAGTATGAGGCATGGCTACAATGGGTGAACTGTTTAAGCAAAAAACTTCACAGACATTTTTTGTATCGGTATGGCCCTACAATATATTTTTCCAATATAGCATAATAGGTCCACTTTAAGTAAAAGTGTGTGAGTATTGAAAGCAATATTTAAGTATTTTAATGAGACATTTTTCAGCTGATCAAAAAGGTTTTTTATCCTAAAAACTGGAGGATTTTCTTAACCCCAATAGGAACACTAAATATGTATAGGTATTAAAAACTGTAACAGAAGAGTTACTAATGCTGTCTTTGATTATATTGGAGTAAAATGTGGAAACTTTCACTCTTAGTGGAGAGGTACAATGTTACATAAATGGAATACAGTAGCTATGAACCTCTGGAATAAGTAAAGTTAAAGTACCTCTATGTGTATTTGAGTATCTGAATAAATTTACTTTGGTACATTCCACAACTGTCCTTGATTAAAGGTCCCATGTCATGCTTTTCCAGTTATTACCCGTCCCCTTGTGTGTTATGAAGGTTTTTATGCATGTAAACAGTCTGCAGAGTCAAAACCCTCAAAGTACACCCTGTAGCGAGTAAAACTCTAACACAGAAAATACCTCCCCAAAACGCCTCGTTGGAGATACGTCACTGTCCATTGATTCTTCCGGGTAACTCATGATGTCATGCGTTACCCGGAACCAAATGGACCAATCCGTGGAGCCGTTACGTTACGTCCGTGGAGCCGTTACGTTAAGCCCCCGCTGATTGGTCCAAATTGACCAATCCACGAACTTCCTCACACACACACTCAGTGCACGCAGCTCTGCTGATCTCTCCTCCCTGGCTGCAGGCTGATAACAGACAGTTGGGATCGCGGCAAAATTCTCTCTGCAGACCCATTCTCACAGCGTTTATCAACCTTTTTCTTACTCAATATCAAGCCACACTTATTGTTTTTACTTCGGCTGTGACTTTGTGTGTGCTCAGGGTGAGTTTGGCTGTGTTTCGCTGTGTATCGCTAAACAAGGAAACCACACCTCCACGGAGCTCAGCGCGATTCACAACGTCCCGACCAATCAGAGCACACTGTGCTCACTGGGAGGGTGGGGGCTGGAGCTATTGGAGCTACAACGAGCCGTTAAAGGCAGAGAGTGAAATTCAGTGAGTACACGTAGTTTACAGAGATGCTGTATGAGAAACCAAAGTGATTTTTGAAAATCCACGATATAAATCTATTCTAGTAGACCTCAACAATGGAATTATGATCAGTGGAAATGGCCATGACATGGGACCTTTTAAGGCATATATATCAGCCACCAGTTTTTACCTTCCTGTAGGGGAAGGTGACCAGAAAGGGAATTTCCTCTGCTAGAATAAGGTGTGATTCATATATATATGTGTGTGTGGGTTGTCTTGATAGTTTTAATGTTTGATGCAGGAGCTGAATCATCTGCAGAACCAGCTGGAGGAGGAGCAGCAGCTGGCCGCTCAGCACCAACTGGCCCTGCAGGCTCAAGTCAGTGAGGCGCTGGCACACATCAAGGTTTGCAGGATCATAGTAAACCCTTAACATGCACAGATATTCATTGTTCTTGAGTTTGGGTTAATAACATCATTGTATTTGTACTGGTTAACTTTAGCTTACACAGCAGCTGCAGTAAGTCCCCTTCTTCTAGGCAATCAAAACTGTAATACATATTATTTGATTGAGTAACATCCCTGATATGAATTTAAGTTATGATAAAAAACACATTTTCAAAACTATTCTAGCTAGTTGCATTTCTGGCAATCTTTCTCTCTTTTATAATTATAATATATGCCAATGTTAAGTATAACAACTCCAGTTGTGAATCATGCCTTTATGGTTTTTGACTCTTTATTCGCTGCTAGTGTATTTGGTTGATGATTCACAGCAGCCACAAGAACATCTATGATGTCCTACCTGAAAATGATCTGTACTTCCCCTTCAGTGCAAACACATCCCAACCTCTCTGTCTCTCATTCCCCTCTTCAGTCCCAGGACTCGGTGCTGAGCCAGAAGGCAGAGGAGGCGAAGCAGATGAAGCAGGACCTGCAGAGGGCCCAGAGCCTGTTCACCTCCGCAGAGAGGGAGCTGCGCTACGAGAAGGAGAAGAACATGGACACCAAGAGACACAACACCCTGCTGGACCAGGAGAAACTCAAGGTCGGTCTTTTACAATAGCACAGTTGGCACAAATCTGAAGAATAAACCTGGAAGAAAGGTGCTGTACAAAAAGCTGTAATTGTCCGAACACTTGTTACTTTGGTGTTTTTGTGTTTATGCTCTTTTATGCCTTCAGCTTTGTGCGGAGCTGAAGCAGCTCCAGACCAAGCTGGTGCAGTTGGAGCAGTGCGTTCACTCTCAGGCGGCCGAGTGTGAACGTCAGCAGCAGAGAATCAGGGAACTGGAGTTAGAACTGGCGCGTAACTCCACAAACCGCAGCGCCACCACCAGCCTGCAGGAGGACCTGCAGAACGAGAGGGCCCGGCTCATTGTTGCTGACAAGAAGGTCAGTATGCGCAAATGCTACACAGACTTCAGTGCTTTTATTCCAACTTCATATTACATCTGGTAATACATAAACCCTCTTAGTCAGATTGGTAACCTGGTATCAGGCTTTGTGAAAAGACCCCATGGGATTTTACAACTCCTCATGTTGATGTCTGCTTATTATTGAAATCCACCATAAAACCTACATTTTGAGCCCATAATGGAATATAGTTTCCCATCCTGTGGAAATGACTATGCAGCACATATATATTCATACAAATGTACATTTTTAATAACCTAGGACTTCAATGTCCTACTGTATTTTGCACTTTGAGTTTTATTAAAGTTGACCCTATCTTAATATTAGGTGCACATAAGAAGCATTTGCCCCATGTGAAGATCCTTGGGATCTGTGTGTGCTTTTGTAGAGATGTAGCATTTGTTCTTCCTCATCTGGCATAGCACTTTCTCAGGGTTATTCCCCAACATTATTGTCTATTTCTGGCCGATATCTTCAGGGATTCTGCGGTTCAGGAGCTCATGTTATCTGTATGTCACTCTGAGTGAAGCCTGTGGCTCTGTTTGTTGGCAGGTGTTGGAGCTACAGCAGCAGCTAAAGAGCGCCCAGCACCAGCTGCGTGTGGAGGAAGCCCGGGCGGGGGAGAGCAGCCGCTTGGAGAGGGACAGCAGAGATCTGTCCGACACCCTGTCAGCCCTGAGAGCCCAGCAGCAGGAGGAGCACATCACCAGGTCACACAAACTGCACTGCTGCTACGTTAAACCTGCAGCTATGGTGGCATAACCAACATATACACCACAATTCTGACGCAGTGTTTTTGTTAACCACCATTCCTTTCCTTTCTGCCATCCCTGTCTCAGGAAGCTGGTAGAGCAGCGCGAGGAGGAGCTGCAGCAGCAGGTGCGCTCCCTGAGGCTGAATGAGGCCTCCATGACGCGGACAAACGCAGAGCTCAGCCACCGCGCGCAGCAGATGGACACACGCCTGGCTGTGTTAGAGGCTGAGCTCAGCAAGGCCAGAGAGGAGGTAAGAGCAGGGTCCAACCACTGGTCTCAGGTTATTGTCTTTGGATGAAAGTCAGCTGAATGAAATGTAACGGGATGCATTGATGCTGCAGGGTTTCAGACACCCAAGGCACCACTCATACTTTTAAAGGTCCCTTATTATACTGTTTTTGATCAATATATTTCGTTCTCAGTTATATACAAAACATGTCTCTGAAGTGTTTGGCTTGAAATACCAAACATATCACCCATTGTAGCATCCCATAATCCCCTCTGTTTCAGCCCTGTTTCAAAAGTGCTGATTCTCTGTCTGTTACTTTAGATCAAAAATAAGGAGCCCCTCTCCACGCCCCTCTGAGAGGTATTTGGTTAAAAAGAACACAATGGTGCTCTAGGAGGAGATTCAGGAGATAAGGGGGGGCGGGGTACCTTGGTTGGT